TTTGCTAGGTGTAAATAGATTTGATATAAACATCCTACCTCCAAGCATAAACAGCTGTGAGAAAGGAGGGTAAGAAACACCTCGTATGCCTTTAGCCATCAAAATGAATCATCTAATCCAATTTATTCAACCAGGTCCTTTTTGCAGTCAGCACAACTGGCACATCTAGTAGCAACTCATGAATTACCATGAGAAGTAGCTATCTGCCTCTTGCTTCTAGTGTGCCTTCATTAAATATTTTGCCAATTGAATACCTCATTTAGCTTCTGACCATCACACTCATAAAATAATTGGGATTTTATCCTCTGGCTCTTGTGTGTTATTTCTCATACATTAGTAGTTTTGTGTCTGTTAATTTTCAAGCATACACATCTTTTTGCCTTTTGAAATGATTTACACCTTAAAACTTTTCATAGTTATCCAATAGCCTGAGAAAAGGGCTGAAATGCAGAAGCAAATTTTGATTTTGTCACTGACAAGCTGTGTGTAGCCTTGGGGCTAGCCTGTCTCCTTGCAGCCTGCTCCCAGACAGAGGAAATATGTAGTTGCACAGCTCTCAGCAGCAAAATAAGGACCAAGCTGTGACTCACTGTCACATTTCTATTTGACTCCTGCTTCTCTCTTGCTCCACTGGGGAAATAAGTTGTGGCAGACAAACAGCTGGCACAGGAACCTTGTCTTTCTCCTCTCCTCACCTTCCTGGATTAGATCAGTGCACAGTCTCCAGAGCATTGCAGCAAGCAGAGCTGAGCCTCTGTTCATTCTTCCCTGAGTGGGAGGATGAAGTGTCAGGGGATGCCCATCAACCTTGCACTGTGACCTGCAGGAGATTGGACTAGAAAGGACCAGCTATAGGGCTGGTGCTGGAGCTGTTGTGCACATACAGATTAAGCTGTACATTGGCAGAAGCCATTTCTCAGAGGTGTCAGCCTTTTTCTGTTCGTGTTTCAGTGGTGGCAGCTCCAGCTACATCTGCCACTGAGTCCAGTGTTCCTGTGTTCATAGACACAGTGGAGTAATGTAGTTTGAGGCTTTTTAGACAAAGTCTTAAGTGGACCGCAGAAAATATCCTGGCTGCTACAAGAATACTCAGTAACTGCTTAAATATAATAGTAACAAGAGCAATAATTAGTATTCATTGTAATAATATGACTAATACTAATATTCGATCCTGAGAGTATAGCAAAGACAGAGTACTTAGTCTCTGTATTTTTTTTTATACAATTTTAAGGACTTCCACTTTTTAATAGTACATTTCTGTGATTGCAATGACATGTAATATGAGAATGCTGAAGATAATCCTTTGGAATCTTCTCCTTAATACTTGACAACTAGAGACATAGGTCCTGCCAACTTTTTAAGGACATTTATGAATTGCTGTCTTCAGGGAGCTCATTTTGTCTTTCAAGTGTACATTTCACTAATATTTCCACAACTAACAATTTGTAGCTGTGTAAAAGAGTAAGTAGCAAATGTGGGTTTTGGTACAAGTAGACACTGCAGGGTAATTGCTTATTGGCTACATATTTAAGTTACTTAATCTCACTGTCATTATCATGCTGTTGACCTGAAAGAGCTCCCCATTTCTTCTCTTCGTCTCCTGTTGTCCTGACACAGGCTGGCAGAAAGAGAGCTCTGAGATGTGCACCAGCACATCCTGCCAGGCCTGGGCCATCTCTCTAAACCAGCAACCACCCTGTCCATGGCAGTGCCTGAATTGCTGTTGTGCCCTGCTCTCTGATGTGTCAGCATGGTACCCCACAAGGCAAGGAGCCCAAGAGTCTGGCTCTGTGACTGACAGTGGAAAAAAAAGTTATAAATACCTATTGCAAGGAGCAAGTGGTTTAGTCCTAGTGAAGTCATGAAGAGCCCAGAGAATCATGGGCTGGGAAGTGGGATGCAAAACAAATTAAACTGTGTGAAGTAATAGGTAGTTGAATACTTTTTTGTTTATCCAAACTATACATTGCTGAAGTTTATATCTAAACTTTCAGACTGTGAGTGCCGGTACTAGCCCCAGAGGAAAACAAACTGCAGTGAAATATTAGCTCCAGGCTGAATTCTTACTTTTTGCCATAAATAAAATTTCCATCTTGTGGATACATTGTTTAAAAATCAGTCAATAACTACAAGTGAATTCCAAGTACATGAAAACAAAATGAAATTAAGCCAAACATAACTAAACTAAACTAAACTAATTATATAGTTTATTTCCTTGTCATGTGGAAGATCAGCTTACTGGGGAGCTGATGCCTTTTATCATCTAAGTCTATGCTTTGTACAAAAAGCCCAGCAGAAGACACACACTGTTACAGCTGTAAAAACGCTCCTGTAAAAACACTATACAAACAAAATAAAAACATTTTCAGACTCTGATTTCTTTTATTCTATGGCATTTTATTTCATTCTAGAATCTTTAATTTTCTTATTTTAACAAGGTAAATGACTGAAAAGTCAAATTGATTGGGAAGTCTTATATTTTTTTGCCATTAATTTTGGATCAAAAATCTCACTAATTTGGTTATTTCACAGAGTTGCCTCAAAACAGATAGAAAATAACCAGTGTTTCCAACAAACCTAGTTAAGAATATCTGAATAAATCTGTGTTAGTATTTGAGTTACAGCTGTCAGGCTGAGCCACCTGTTTTGGCAGTATTTGCATCCAGAAGTAAATCATAGGTCAGTCCAACTGCTGATTAAAAAATCACATTGCCTCCATGATGTGGCTAACCAGACATCAAGCAAGGATGGTGCTACTTGTCACAGTCCTAACATCAGCCTTTAAGAAGGAAAAGGATCACCTTCTAATAGCACTTAATGCAGATCCTCTTACAGGTACGAACAATAAAAAAATGGAAGATGAAAAGTATGTCTTTCATGCACTGAAAAACTACATAACATGAGAAATAGAATAAAGTAATTCTCAGAAGATTGTTTAAAAAACATTTTCTTAAAATTTTTGTAGTTATTAAATGTTATTATTAAATTCGGATAAGCACTGCAAAAAAAATGTTGGAGTGAAATTCAACTAAAATATTCAGTATTAAACATGGTTGCATTTTAAATATATACTCTGATTTCAGCTGATAAAATATTATTTTGCATCTAAAATGTTATTTAAATATGAATGTCAGGAAATACTAAAGTACATGAAACATTCACATTTTAGAATATGTATTTATTGGTTAATACAATTGCCTTTCATTTTTGCAGGCCAACATCTGGCATATTTATTTTAGCACAATTTTCACTGGCTCCCTTAGAAGTCTACCTAAATAGGGATAGCAGAGGGGTATTTTTACATTTTACCCTTCAGTAACTTCATGTACAGTTCAAAAATACTCTGTGCTCCCTATGGAAAAATCAGGGCCAACAAATGAAGCTATTCTGACTCTAGTAAATCTCTGATTATAAGGAACCACCAAAGCTTTTTCTGAGCAAAGACTTGAGAATAGAACACCCTGAACTTCAGGCATTCCCTGTTTGTATCACTCTAATGGAGCTGCCTAAATAATGGTGTTCTGCAAATGAAACTAAGGTTATTTTTAGAGGTGTACACAGAGCTTGCTTTAGTAACTGGTAAAAACTCAGCCTACAGGAGTAAAAAAGCAAAAAAGAAAAAAAAAAAAGGAAAAAAAAGAAAAAACAGGAAAGAAAAATAAAAAGGAATAAAGGAATCCTGGAGTGAAAATAATATTTGCTAAGAACAACAAATAATTTTGACATGCCAGTTCAATTAAACTTTTAAAGCACATATCATTTTTTGTTAATTATATTTGAAAGGAGTTACTGTACCTTCTGCTGTTATCTCGGCCATGATGACGGTAAGAGGTACTCTGTCTAAAAGGTCAAGATTTACTGTGGCAGCTTAGATAGTATTCTGGGTTGCTGACTCTCGCAGGAGTTGCAGAATGAGAAGGAGGGAGGTCCTCTGCTTTTCCTAATCGTGTTCCTTCTTTTATGCACCCTGAAATGTCTGTTTCCTCTGCAGACCTGGTCTCCTAGAACAATCCAAGACCTTCCAGAGGCAACACTTAAAGCTCAGTCTAAAGTATCAGCTTCTAACAAAAATAGCCATGCCTCAGAGTGAACCTTCAGCACGTTTTTCTAATATCCTCGGAACCATGCACATCACAAATAAAATGAAAAAGAATCACAGTTCTAAACAGGACAGGAATGCATAGAGAGGAAATAAAAATCAAAAGAACTGGGAAAGAACTGCTCAATGCTCCTACAGCCTTGCTAGCATTATTGCAGTTCTTTGGGGTGTATGTCAGGAAACATGAAATATAGAGTTCAAAGTAACCTTATCCATCCTAGTACAACTTTATTCTTAGCACACTCAGTGCTTAGCACATTCTTCCTGGCCTTATATGGCTTAGGGAGGGTCTTATGAAGCTCACGGCTGACTAAGGGGGAGGGTAAATTTAGGTGATTTTCTCCACTTCAACTCTTATTGCAGTTCAGAACCAATTAAGACACCAATGTAAACCAATAAAATTGGCTTGGAATATTTTTTTTTTTGGTCTTTTTCTGATTTGCTGCAATTATCACCTATACCTGTGAAGTTCATCTAAGTATTAGAGAACACTGCTAAAAATTTTAATAATAATATTTTATATAGCCCAGATACATGAAGGCAATATGCAAAAATATTAACTAGACCAGATTTGTTTTTCTGGGTCTGATTCATGGAAATATTTAAGTAGCTCAAAAATTCTAGGATTTTTAAAAAGATTTTATAAAACTTAAAACAAGTAGATCCTTAAAAGCATTTAGAGAAAGTAAAATATTAACAATTCAAATAAGAATAATTATTTTAAAACCTGAGCAATCATTTCCTTTCACTGCTTGCAATTTCACTGGTGTAGAATTACGTATGTGGCCAATAGCTTGAAAATGAAATTAGCAGAAAAGTGCACTCAAGCCAGCATACCTTTATGTAAATGTCATCGTCACATGAAACCAGAAACCATCTTAAACAGCTCTTGCTAGTGAACCTATAGTCACCTTGTCTCTGCTACATGAGTTGGCATTTACACTTCTCATCTTTCCCCCAGGAGATATAGGCACCTGGCTCTGTGGCAAAGTGTGGAGAAAGGAATCTATTTATCCAATGCACAAGATGGAGAAGCAAAGGTTCATTGAACAGCAAAACCACCACCAGGTTTTTTTCTCTTCCCTCTACTGTTAACACACTTCATACCTGCCACCTGTCTGAAAATGGTAGCTTTATCGAGCCAAAGCTTGCAATCAGTGCTTGAGCCCCCTTCTTCTTTAGGTCTACTGACCAGATGTTTTGCACTGACAAGTTTTGATTACTTGATGCTAAGTACTCTGTGTTTTTCTGATCATCCCTCTAACCCTCTGTTTGCTCCTTTAGCTGGTTCTTCAGCAGATCCTCCTAAGACTGATAAAGCGATTTTATGTAAAACCTTATTTCTTCAAAATACCCTTTCATGAGTACCAGAACAGTCTGAGGACTCACATTCACATATCAACAAAACAGCTGCCCATTAAAGGTCAGTGGTCAGTAAAGGATGATGTTAAAGCAAATCCCTTGTTCTTCTTAATTATATCTCCTCTGCTGAAGCAATTCCATTTTATATGAACAGTAAAATATTTGGGGTCACCTATGTTTTGACAGCTTTACTACTTGCTTGAGATGTGAGATAGATCATCTGAAGCACAGAGCTAATCAATTGTGAGAAGTCAGATTTGTATTTCTATTAAAATTGAATAAAATAGTAAAGTCTTCATTATGGAATCTGGGGAGAGAGATAAATGGGGAAAAATTAATGTCTGAGTCTTTTGTTGTTTTATGTAGCAAGATCCCGAGATTGTGGACTATATCCAGACATAGGTGTTTGTATAACTATATGATTGCCTGTCCCTTACCATTTTACATTTCAGCTCCTACCACCTGCCCTCCTTCCTCCATACCTTACTCTCTTGTTACTATTTATGCTAACCCTCAGTCATGGGCTGTTATTCTGAAATCAAAATACAGGAGCAGGAGAAGTGAGAGAATTCGATTTGAAACCAATTTTCCACAACATCAGCCCAGTGACCAAAAGAGAAGTGGTTGGTACCCTCTGCATCCCTTGTATGCACAGAATATTCATTCTGGGAAGCACACTAAAGATTACATGTGCACCAATATCTTACATATATAAATGTGGCTTTAGGCAAGTGTATTGGAAGTTACACAGTTGCTCGCTTTAAGGAGGAAAAGGTCAAGGGATCTGGGTGTCATATTTACTATAGATATTCACAGACTTTGTGAAAATACATAGAACTAAAATAAAACAAGTTATGTGTATGTGCATATATGTTCAACCTGAAAAAAATACAAACATTGCTGTTTGGAAATTATAAAGAATGTCTCATTTATTCTTTAGAAGTCTAAGCAACCAAAAATCTGAAATTTTTTTAGGGAAAGTTGAAGTTTTTTTCAAAATCTAAACTTTAGCTCCTGATTTGATTTAAGAGTTTCTCTTAAACTAATCTGTGAAACTCACAGTATGCAGAAACTGCAAAATTTATACAAATCTTCATGCAATAAAGTAAACATATTTTCCTGACCTAGTTTATATGTTGAAAAATTAATTTTAATTAAAACCTTTTCTGCCTAACCTGACCAGAAATATTCTTTTGTAAGATGTCCTTTTTCTCTCCTTGCTCCTCAAACAACATGGAAACTGAAAAATCTAAAACTACTTTGGTTCTTGCGATATATAAACCTGACACACAGAGGTTTCCCATAATTTCTTCTGATTATGATTTGGGCACAATGAGAAAATGCTCCTGCCTCAAGTTAGAAATAGATGTTCTGCTCCTACTCACAGGGTGAATGAACTGTCCTGGGATCAGTTCTCACATTGAGTGGTGGAAAGGGAGGGAGGGAAGTGCAGAAACAGCTACACCCTCACACCAGATTCCTTAGATACACACGTCTGTGTTAGATAACATAAAATGACAGTTCCCTTTTCTCTGTAGTTGCCTGGATAGGGAAAAAAGTAACAATACTAGGAAGAGGGGAGAAGGATGTACTATATGCTGCTACTAATGTCTGCATGTAACCATGTGCCCTGATGTCAGATAATGCATATTTACTTAGGGCTCTAACTGATGGAACAAAGTAAACCAATTTGATGAATTCTCAGAGTTTAGTCCTACTGAGAATCAAACTATTAATATGAAAAGAGATCTGTATCCCAGTGTATGCTGAGCAGCACAGCTGGGTCAAAGAAAGGAAACTTAACTTTAACTCTGATACACTCAATGATATCCCTGGATCAGATGGGGTAAGTTTTTATCAGAAACACCCAGCAGTTGACTGATAAGAACTAAATATAGGCTGAAAGTATAATGCCAAGGAGAGGGTAAATGGTACTGAATCTAATGAGTAACAAAGACATAAGCAGAAGCAAATATAGGATTAGAGTTATGTCTGCCAACTGAGCTTTGATTTTCATATGAAGCTGTTTTTCTCTGAAACAGACTTTTACTTTTTATCCTTTATTTCTGTTTAGGAATACTGTTATTTCTAGGTGAGATTTTCATTCCGCCCCACTGGTAATACTGCATTTTCCAGTATGGATCGGAACACACATTCTGGTGCGTTTGAAGTCTTGATCAGTCAAAGATGTAGCTGTGACTTTCTATGGACCATTAGAGAACTCTCAAGTAATTTTTTTCCATGTGTGATTGATGTTTCATAATAAATGGTTGCAAGATTTTTGGAATCAACATGACAAAAATACAGACATATTCTGGATATTCTTAAGCACACACAAAATAAAAAACAAAGCAAGACCTTGGTATCACATCTGATCTAGGTTAAATTTTGGCATATATATGTTTGTCTCAAAAATCAATTTGCACCATTTTTCAGAGAATTGCATACATAGAACCTTTAAGCAAGTTTTTATTTAATATGTAGTAGACAGTAGGTTGAAGTCCATAACAGATCCTTTAATGTGAACTACTGATGGACAGATAAGGAGCTCTGTCACTGTAGACTGATTGGTCTGAATGCAAATCAGCCTCTGCTCAGGGACAGCTGACAAGAACACTGGAGTCACATCACCTTGGCACTCTGAGCTCATTAAAGGACACTTCCAAAGCTATATGGTAGAAACACAGCAAGTACAAAAGAAAATATCTATGATACTGACTATTCTGCTGACATATGGATGATATCCCTATTAGCCATTGCACTGCAAAACTGCTGAAGTAGCTTCAGTCAAGGTGTGTGAATAATGAACATTTTATAACATCCAAAAAGGACAACTGATTATAAAACTACTTCCAGGAAGCAAGAACATACTACTTAGTCTTCTTGCAAGCTGCCTAAGTAGGCAGTCTATGGCAGGAAATCAGACTAAAGCAGCCCCCAACTTAGAATAGTTGGGCGTTTTCAGTGTACTCTGCTTTATCTATAAAAATTATATTACTATATAATAAAAATGATATTATATTACTATATTACTTATATAACTTTTATTACTATAAGCTAGGTTCAGGGAGGGCATTTATTGCAGCATGTCAAGGTAGACTGCATTTGGGTGACCTTTAGCATCTCCGTGTAACACACTTTTCCTTTGATTACTCTATTCTTAATGAGTATTGTTTCATTAGCACCTGTGGCTTTACTTCCACATCTAGAAAATCACACAGAAGCTGTTTCACAGACAGTTCTATGACACTGAGAAAGAAATATCTGGAGCTGACCCTTTTTAAGAAACAATTGCAAAAAGTACACTATAGTAGTCTTTTTCTTCAGGACAATCTCTATCCAAACTTGACCATGGAGAGAACATAAAAAGTTGCCAAATTATTATTGGAGATGGGGATTGGCTCTGACACAACATGAATTACTGTTGTCAAGTACTGATTGAGAGCTGTTCAAATATACCAAAGTATTTGGTCTCAGGTCAAAGAAAAGCAAGGGGACTTCAGTTCCCATGACTTTCCTTGAGAACAGGAATTTTCTAAAAAAATTCACTGACTTTCAAAAAAAAATTATTTGAAACCAAGTTTTTATGTTGAAAAAAATATATCTCAGAAATATATCACACAGAAATACCTAGACAAAGAGCAAAATTGCTCCTGAACTTCAAATTTCAAACCCAGCTCCAAATTCCCAGTAATACATTTTATATTTGTCTTTACATCTTATACTTATGAAATGTTTCAGTAGAAATCTGCATTTAGTGTTTTTTTTTTCCAGATATGACCATAGTCACGCATGTTGCCAAAAACAGATGGAGAGAAAGAAAATTTTGAATAAAAGTCTGATGTGAAAAGACAAAGACAGTTTTCATGCCAAGTCTTGAGGAAAAAAACATGGAGTAAAACTAAGTATCAAATAGCTTCAGTAACTTGAACCCTTTTTAGGATCCTTTAAACTATCTGCTCAGGCTGACCTTCACAACCAAGGGGAAATCTCATCTTCCTTTCCATTTAATAGTGTATTCTTCTGCTTGATATGGTACATTATGTACATTATAATCTTAAACACTCCTAGTCACATTGCCAAAATATTTGCTTTCTAAATAAACCCAGTCAAAGTGTCACGAGGTCTATCTGGATTTTGACACTTTTGTACTTTTCTGAGAGCTGACACTCAGTATCTAGGCATAGTGAATTAGAAGCTGTTTTAAAGCACTTATTTTTCCCTGGACATTACAGTGTGCAATACAGCTGCAGGTCTAAGAGTGGTTTTGCCAAGAGTTTGTGTATCCCGTGTTTTGTGTTTGTTTGGGTTTTTTGTATGTCAGGTTTTTCTGCTATTCCCAGGTCCCTGTTTGCCCAGGAACATCAGAACCTGCTTGAGTTATGCATTTCAACAGATAGGATAGATATCAGTTCCTGGCAGTGGATAAATAATTTTCTAATGAAATAAAAATCATGCAGATGAAATAACTCTATGCGCCACAGTCACCCATCCGGCAGTACAGGAACATATGATGCAAAATGCTGAAGAAGAAATTGAATCTATTTTTTGTCACCAATATACAGAGAGACAGATAGAGAACAAATAAGAAAAAATATAAAGCAGACAAATTATTTCAGCAATTACTATCTCTAAGAAAAAAATTACATTAAAGAAACCAGATTTATAAAAAAGTTTGTTTTGACAACAGCCATAATTTTTCTTTCTAGTTCCGCTTTCTTTCTCCTACATTCTCGTCACAGTCTTGAAGAGATCAAAGCGGGAATTGCAGATGAAGAACGCACTTTATTATTATTACTATTATTATTATTATTATCATTATTATCATCATCATCACTATTTAAAAAGAAAATCTAATCTGGGAGCTTTTTCATTAGGCAATTTAGCTTCTTTACAGAGTAGAAGTGGAAGACATGAATTAGTAAATTCAACCTTGTCAGTGCTGACAGCTGTAACTGCACTGAAAAAAATATGTCTAAAAATTAAGGGATCTTTTAAAAGGAAAAATAATTTTGAGCATTGATGTCTTTACAACTCATCAGAGCACATATATATTAATTTTCCTTCAATAATACACCACCATTTGTCATTGTCAATCAGTTTAGATTCCTGCCCAAGCTCCAACCCATGTCCGTAGTCAACTTCCTAAGGCAAACCAAAAAGAATATTTTTCTGCAAAGCATTTACTGAAAAGAAGTACTAGGTCTTTCTTTCATCTCTCCAGTCACCCTGAAAGAGCATAACACAAGTAGACCAAATGTAGAGGACTACATATCTTTAAAGGACTGTTACACCCTTTCTTTTTCCAAATTCCCAGTTTAAATGGAAAAAAAAAAAAAATTATTACCCCAGAGGCACAAAGTAGAAGATCCTCAGCTGCGTTCCCAGAACTCAAAAGGCAAGGCAAGGGCACTGGGGACTTTTGGAAGCTGCCGGCTGCATTCCCAGGGCCTGAGGGAAGCGTGCAGCGCTGGTGCAGCGGGCACAAAGTGCAGCTGCCAAGGAGCTGTTGGCAGGTGCTCCCTGCGGGTGAAGGGGCCCACAGCCACAGCCAGCAGGGCAGTGCGTCCAGCTCTTGTGCAATCCAGACTGGGATACAAATATTTTATGGAAGATCTGGCCTCCAGTACAAGGGCATGTGCTTGAGGTCATTTTGTGGGTCTTGGTAGTAATTATAACAATACTTGTGGTTTTTTATAGTCATAGGCAGTCTGTGGAGTGGACATTTGTCTAAAATCCTATTTTATATGCCTTTTACCTTAAAGATTTTTCTCTCTGGTCGCCTCTGCTTCCTCCGCTTTCCTCAGCTACCTGGAAAGTTCAGGGTTTTGCGCAAATTCATGTCAGGGAGAAGGTTTTGTGAAGAAAATGTAGCCTTAATATTTGGATTCTGTTTCACCTAACAAATGTTGCCTTATGATTAACAAGGAAAAAACACATTTTTTGTTACAGTGGTACAGACAATTGAGAAAGGGGTTTTGGTGTTGCTGTTTTGTGGTTTTGTGCATTTTTTTCCTTAAGAGAGGGAAAGTAGTTAAGCTTGTAGTCAATCTTTGAGGAAAGCAGATATAACAATATTTCTATTTTCCACATTTTCAGAGTAACAACAGAAAATGTTGTCTGTTCTGCAAAAAGGAAGCAGAGCATGACAGCTGAATGGGGCAAACCTTCGGTTTAGTTGCAGAAATAACAAAGGCCACACAACACAGGGCTGAAAGTACAATCCACCAGAATATCCATTTTGCACAATCAACCAGAACATACACTTTTCATACATCACCAAACTGGAGCTAATGTTCAAAATCATGTTTGTGACCCATATCCTGCAAAGAGGTGCCTGACAGAAATGTGGGTTAGCCCAACAGCCCTGGGAAGGTGATACAGAGGCAGAAAACTGCAAGTAGTGAGTTTTTCATGCCACAAGCAGAGTTACGACCCCAGTTCCCCTATGTTATCTGAGTTGACAAACCTGCTCTGTAAATAATGCCATCCCACTTCCTTTACAGCAATTGTCAAATCAATCCTTCTTACCCCCATTCTCCCCACCAGTAAATTTTGGTTTTAGTTAAAAGACCCCCAACTTTTCATTTGTCACAGCAGTGCCCTGACAGCAACAGGTAAACACTTCTGGCAGACTAAATCCTAATGATCTTTTTAAACCACTCGGAGTAATATCTCCAGTTTTCCACTCCATACTAACACCAGTGGACTGGGACAAGACTCTTGCTCTTTTCCTCCTAAAAGACTGACATCAGTGCATAACAGAAAGAGAAAAAAATTCTTTTACATTGTCTGAGTATGTAGTGTCTATCAACCCTTTTATTGCAGTCAAAAACTGTGGAAAATCAGGCACTTAAAGCTGGTGGTCCTGAAGTAAATTCATGTCTTGGACGGTCTGGGTGTTTTTTGAGGGGTTAATTTAAACACACCTGTCACTCTTAAGAGCAAGGCAGTTGGATTATATTAATATTCTGCTGAATTATTTAAAAGATATGACTAATGCTTCGTGTACCATAAGACTGTTATCTGCAAAAATAACATCTGTGTCAGTCACTGCTGAGCAGTTAGGATTTCGTCACTAGCATTTATCAGTGTTTCTGAGTCCTTAGTGGGAAGGATTCTGCCACGTTACCAGTTCTCCTTCACCTTCAGGTGTAAAACCCAACCTACAGGCTCTTCCACATTGCCTGTTTTAGTCAGGGATGAATAAGAGTAAAATTTGGAGTCTCCTTCCCAAGCAAAATCTTATAAACTTTCTGATAAACTAAAGACTGGAGTAGATATGTTATACAGTCTGGTGTAATATAAGCATTCTTTCAAGAAGGTAGAGAATTATCCCAAACATTGCTTTTTCCTGAGTCCTGGGAAAGAGCAATATTGTCTGATGCAATAGCTCAGGGGACTGAACTGAACACAATCTACGAAGAAAAAAGACTTCTCACAGTCCTGTGTCAGTGATATTGTGTCTTCATATGTATAAAACTTTCTTCAGTTGCCCATCAGAAATGAATCATCACTAAGAAGAAAAAAGAGCAAACAAAACATTTAATTTATGGTACAACATACTTTCCCCCCTTTCTCCTCTGTGATATGAAAAATGCTTGGCTGTGAAAGTTATTTCTGATAATTACCTGGAAGAAGCTTTCTGTTAGTTGTTGATCATGCATTGAAGTAGTGGTTCAGTCACCAAAGAACCTCTTTCTCACCCAACTTGATCAATTAAAGACAAATTTTCAGAGTTTTCAAAGATCTCCGCTAAAGCAAGTGAGAACTGTGGGAATTTTCAAAACCAAAATGTTGATTATGTACTTTATTGCTTGTGTATTTGCATTGTATATGCAATCAATAATTGTAAACATAAGTATTTAATTTAAAATATGCATATGCCATGATTATACTGAAAGATAATTTTATTGAGTTATTGAAAGTTTTGCAGTCACTTGGTCAGTTGTCCTTCATCAAATGCACAACATAGCTGGGAATTTGAGTCAGGTTATGGAAAGAAGTTGTGAATGAATGAATGAAGGAATGTTTGAATGAATGGTAGCCGGACATTCCTTTATTATTTGCTATTCTCAATGTAAGAGAGTATATAGTATCAGTTATATTTCTTTATAAACCTTGTGGTTCACTTTTATTTATTTATTTATAAAATAATGTCATACACTTCACAGAACTGAAACCTTATTTCCATGATTGAGAGTAATAAGATATTGTCTCTCAGATTTTATTTTAATTTTGTAGCTTTTCTAGGTTTCTTTTTTCTTCTTTGGAATACTACAGATTCACAGTACAAAATCCAGTAGTTCGTGATTTGAGTGTTATCTAGTAGTCTCACACAGTGGTAGCAGCCTACCTCATCATAGTCACAGGTTATGTAAATCCCAGGACAAAATACTGGAAAATTCTGGGACTCAAAGCTTTCCATCAGTGGTCCAGATGTAAAGCTATAGAGAGCCCCAGCTTGAACAATAGCAGTGTTGTGGTACTTGTGTCTAAACATGCTTGAAGGCAAGGGTCCACTGCTATAGCACCAGCTGCAGGAGGCAAGGGTAAGTGGTTATCTTGATTTTTAGATTGTGCTACCTTTCACCAGAAGAAGTATTAGACATAAGCATATCTTTGGGACACTAAAAAGATATGGGAACATCAAATAACTTACAAACTAAACGTTCTAATCCAGGTACATACTGATGCCCTGGTCATGAGAACTATTTTCTGACAAATTTTCAGACTGGGCATCAATTCATGTACACAACTCTAAAGAAGAGGTTAAGAGCCTTACTGGAATGCGTCTCTCTTAGTTGCTACAATTTTTGCATTCCAATTAGCATTATTTCAGTTGTGCCACAGGCAAATAAATTGAAACATTAAGATGTGAAATCTAAATTATTTAACAAATTTGTGCAAGAATCTGGATCCCAGTGTAACAATTTTACACCCATGATTGCCTCCTGTGCCTGTTGCTAAATATCAAAATAGTATAGGGAGTATTAATCTGTCACTATTAAAAAACAAATAATTCAGAACTATTAAAATGTACACTCAGCATGAGAATTTTAAATACTTTGACACATTTTTGTAAAAAAAAAAACCCACACTTAGATGCTATTTTTCAAATAATTAACATTATGAATTCACCGCTAAAAAGATTATTTGCATAATTTTTAGGATTTATAATTAACAGAATGATTTGTATGAACACTTTAGTCTTGAAAGGGTTTTAAAAGGATCTCCTTTCAAATCAAGCTTCTATTTTTACAGTCGCAACCAATAAGGCAAAATGAAATACATACGTCTTGCTCTTTATACTGTTCATACTTATGTTACACAGAGAATAGGGGTGTATTTTGAGGCTGTTTAGAAGGAACTACTTGTGATGAAATACTGTGCCTCAGCTTTCCGACAGCCACAAAATGTAGTGTCATTGAGGTGGAAGAATTCCAGTGGCAAGTGAAATTTTACTCGCTGTTACAGAAGATAATGGCTTCTCACACCTTATGACTTCAGAGACAATTCCAAGCATTTTGTATCTGCTAAATTCAGAATAAAAGTACCAAACTTTCCTACATGAACAAGTATGTTTAGAAAGTGTGAATGCCAACATTCAAAATCAAAAGGACATTATATGCAATATAAGGGTGGCAGAAGTACTATTCTCTTATCCTTCCTGACTTGAAAATAGAAAAAATAATCAGAATTTGAAGTTTTCTGTGTTATACACAAATCTTCTTTAAGATAATATAGGGTTAGAGCCCTGTGATCTCAATGAGCCAAAGCAAGCTTGTAACAAAAAATTCCTCTCATTTTCTTTAATTTTTGTATCTTTGCTTGCTGTGCAATTAATACACTAATTTGGCAAAGAGAGAAAATTCTGAAGAATCTCCTAACACAAAAGGGAGAAAATCTAAGATGTGAAATCAGAACAGTATTAAAGCATACTCTCTGGTCATAACTGCCAATGAAATACCAAAAAACCCAGAAATAAGAAAATGATGACACTTGATGTGAGCAGACTTGTGTATTTCTTCTGCTGTTAGAAAAAGCATTCTTCAGCCAAAATGTCAGCTCATTGGTTAGATTGTACCAATATACTGCAGCTGTTTTACAGATAAATATCTACTTTACATTCCCTTCCTGGCAAATTTTAAAACCATCACCATGTTTTGGAGAGTCAGAAACTCTACTAGCACTGCACTTGATGGCTTGTCAGCTGAAGGCTTGGCTTTTTATTGCAAAACCAGGCACACACATGCTTGATTGTAAAGAATTCCTTTAAAAGTTATTTATAAAATGACAGCTTCTTTTCTTTCTCATTTCCCTCTGGAAAACTTTGCATTCACAAATTGGATCTTTTGTCTTCCAGATTTTCAAACATTTCCTGAATCTTTGTAATGTCAGATTGATTCTGTCACCGGGTTTGAAGTGAAGTTAGACACTTCTTGATAGCCTTGTTTCACTATAATATCTCAAAT